ATACCACCGATGGTACTGCCACTGGAAGGTCCATTCTGGTTCTAAACTTTTTGGACACCCTTCTGGTCACGGCTGACAATATCAGACAGTGGATATAAAAAGATCTGGTCCTGGCAAAACTAAAATGGCTGGTGGTGATGGGGGAAACAAAAGGGCCATCACAAGCAGAACTGAAACATTTCTGGGCCTGGCAAGACCAGATCACCAGAGAGGACGGTATGTTATTATGGGGGAGCAAGAGTGATTATCCCGAGCAGATACTGGCTGAACTTCGCCAGGGGTGTCCAAAATGAAGATGTTGGCGAGAAGTTGGTGGCACTGCTGCCTCACAGCACCATGGAGCCGGGTTCAATTCCAGCCTCCGGCAACTGTCTGTGTGGAGTTTGCACGTTGTCCCTGTGACTGCGTGGGTTTCCATTAGGAGCTCCGGTTTCCTCCCACAGTCCACAATGCGCAGGCTAGGTGGGTTAGCCACGGGAAATGCACAGTCACAGGGATGGGGGGCGGTGGTGGTGGGTCTGGGAGGGATGATCTGCCGAGGGTTGGTGTGTGTGGACTCGGGCTGAATGGCCTTCTTCCACACTGTAGGGATTCTAGGATTTTAAGTTCTGTCTAGGGGGCCAGGTTTGGATGCAGACATAGCTGCGTTGGTGCTATGAGTGCCACCAAGAACTAAAATTACTCCCCACATTTGTGGGAATGGCCAGGTATACACTAAGTTACATAACGACTTTGCTGGCCCTTTCATGGACTAGAGTTCTAAATCATTTTGGATGCCCACCCAAATGGTCAGACATGCATACAGTTCATTCATCAAACACAGTGATGGGTGATGATAGAAAAGCTGCACACATCTTTTGCAATACACAGGCTCCCAGAAGTGTTGGTCACAGACAACAGGCCATCGTTAACCAGCAGGTTAAAGTTGAATGGTATTTGTCATATAAGGACATACCATCAATCATCCAATGGTCTGGCAGAAAGAGCAGTCCAAACTTTGAAGGCAGGCTTAAAGAAACAGCCTACAGCTTCACTCGGGACCAAACTGTCCTGGTTCCTGTTCGATTATAGGACTACCCCTCATGCAACTGCAGGGACAGCTCCAGCAGAGTTGCTAATGGGGGATAAGACCCTGCACCAGGTTAAATCTGATCTTCCCAGATGTGGGAAGGAGGGCAAAACAGCACCAGGATTGCCAATGCACTAGACTCCACTAAACGAGAGATACAGTTTACTTCAGGGGACAGAGTTTGGTGCTGAAATCATGGAAATAGCCCTGCATGGGTAAGCGGCATGGTCGACACAAGGCCAGGCCCCATGATGTACAAAGTTCGGGAGTTGAGCTGGTCCTGAACAAGCAAGTGAACCATATGAAAGCCGCAAACTCGCAAATGGGTTGGGAACAGAGCATACCCAGCCCCTCAGAACAGCTGGAAAGGCCGATGGAACCTATGCATTCTCCCCCTCCATCTGGCGTTGAAGAAACCTCTGAGTCTGAAACGGACCTGGTGGATGTCGCAGCCTCAAAGACTTTACTGCCCAAAGAAGAGGATGAATTTCTTCCAAGATGCTCCGGGCATAAGAGGTGGGCTACAGTCTGTTAAGCGCTGCCTGTACCCAAGGCTGAGTTGGAGGATGTGGGCCCGATGTGCAAACGGCCCAGGAAAGGCTAAAAGAAAGAAAAAATAGGCCTTTGTTCCCAGATCCAGAGGGGGAAGGATGTAGTGATAGCAATGAGGTCAGCCAGGGGCACCTCATAGAATATGGGTTCCCTGATTGGGGTTGTTAACCTGGTCCAATCAGGGAGCCCTGGCTGACAGATACAAACAGGAGGGTCAGGGGAGCTAGAGATAACAAGGTGTGGAGCTGGATGAACACAGCAGGCCAAGCAGCATCAGAGGAGCAGGAAAGCTGACATTTCTCTGAGCTAGCTGGGTCAGCTTCAAGGACTATGCACGTGCAATTAAAGGGTGACCTGGTGACAGGATACCGGCCTCTGTGGAGTGATTTCACCAAATGCAGTGGAAAGGGAGAGGTGAGAAATGGAAGTTGGATCTCCTCCCTGAGAACACACCACAGTAGGTGGAAATAAGTCCCTTTCACTTGGAAACACGTATTCCATTTCCAGTCTAAACTGTTTTCTCTCTGCTCTGTCTGCAACCCACCTTCCTCACTGCCTCTATCTTGCCTTGCCACTATACTGCAAGATCAATGGGAAGGGTCAAACCAACAGGGGTCTCCCAATGCTGCCTTGGTGCAGCCACTAGGAGGTGTGAGAGATCAGCCTGGGTTGACTCACTCTTCAGCTTTCCACAAGTTCTATCAATTATTTCCATTGGTTTCCTTCAAAAAAGTAATATTTTATCATAACAAAACTGGAGGCAATGGGAATCAGGGTGAAAACACTGCTGGTTGGAGTCTTACCTGGCACATGGGAAGATGGTTGTGGTTGTTGGTCAGTCAATTCAGCTCCAGGACATCTCTGCAGGAGTTCCTCAGGTTAGTGTCCTAGGCACAACCATCTTCAACTGCTTCATCAATGACCTTCCATCCATCATAAGGTCAGAAGTGGGGATGTTCACTGATAATTGCACAACGTTCAGCACCATTTGCAAATCCTCAGATTATGAAGCAGTCCATGTTCAAATGTAATAAGATCTGGAGTCTAGTCTTGGTCTGACAAATAGCAAGTAATATTTGCACCATAGAAATGCCAGGCAATGCCCATCTCCAGTAAGAGACAATCTAACAGCCACCCCATAATATTCAATTGCATTACCATTGCTGAATTCTCCCCTGTCAATATCTGGGGATCACAAACTGAACTGACTTGCCACGTAAACACAGCGGCTACAAGAACAGGCCAGAAGCTGGGAATACTGCAGCGAGTAACTCATCTCCTGACTTCCCCAACCTGTCCATCATTGACAAGGCACAAGTGGAGAGTGTGATGGAATAATCCCTCTAGCCTGAAGGGTGAGGCTCCAACAACTCTCAAGAAACTTAAAACTATTCAGGATAAAGCAGCCCGCTTGATTGGTATTACATCCTCAAGCATCCACTCACTCCACCACCAATGCTCAGTTGCAGCAGTGTGTACGAAAGAAATTCACCAAACATTGTCAGACAGCACCTTCCAAACACACGACCACTTCCATCTGGAAGGACAAGGGCAGCAGATACATGGGAACACCACCTCCAAGTTCCCCTCCAAGCCACTCACCATCCTGGCTTGGAAATATATCGCCGTTCCTTCACTGTCGCTGGGCCAAAATCCTGAAATTCCTTCCGTAAGGGCATTGTGGGTTGACTTACAGCACATGGACTGCGGCGATTCAAGAAGGCAGCTCACCACCACCTTCTCAAGGGGCAACTAGGGCCGAGCAATAAATGCTGGACCCAGCCAGAGACAACCATGTCCCATAAGTGAATTTAGAAAGGGGCCACTGTTCTTTTTATGTGCTCATTCCTGAATCGTTTCACTCTGTGTTGGGGTGGGGTAGTATATTTCACCCGGGGCTCACAAGGTTGAACATTTATCAATCCACCACAGGCAGGTTGGTGGAATGGGCTGACAAGCAGTAGATTCATTTCAATGTGGAGAAATGTGACAGACAATATAACAGAGTGGGTGCAGTTCAACTGGAGGTGAAAACGTTCGGGAGCTGGGGATATATGTGCCCAAATAATTGAATGCAGGAGGATCCTGGAATTTTACAGAGAGGAATAGGATCTGAATGGAAATGGTTCTGGCGAACATTTATATAAGACACTGGCTCAGTTTCTAGTGGAGTATTGCATCCAGTTCTGGGTAACAGATTTCACAAAGGATGTGTGAAGTTGTTACAGAGGCTGCAATGAAGATGGATGAAAATTGTTCCAGGGAGGGGGATCCTCAGTTGCACAGAAAGATTGGGGAAGTTGGGACTGTTTTTCTGGGAGGGGAATGTTGAGAGGAGATTTGATAGAGGTACTCAGCGTGCAGCGCTGGGCAAGTGCTGCCTTGCAGCAGGTTCTGTCTTTCAGGTACATTGTCACCCTTCTGAGGTGTCTGGCTCCATATGTTCATGGGAATGAGGGTGCTGCAGGCTGCTATCTGTCACCAAGGGGGTGAGGGGTGGGGGAGGGGGGGCGGTGTGTGTTGGGGGTTGTGTTCTCCATCAGGTCCTGGCTAGTAAAAGCTGCGTTTGAACTGTGAGTGCTGCCAGCTGACCCACAAGCCTCATAACCGGGTGACCAGCATAGTGACACCATAGCTCAGTGGTTAGCACTGCTGCCTCACAGCGCCAGGGACCCGGGTTTGATCCCACCCTCGGGCGACTGTCTGTGTGGAGTTTGCACATTCTCCCCATGTCTGTGTGGGTTTGCTCTGGTTTCCTCCCACAGTCCAAAGATGTGCAGGCTAGGGGGATTGGCCGTGCTAAATTGCCCCATAGTGTTCACGGATGTGGAGCTTAGGTGGGCTATAGGGGGATGGGTCGGTGTGGACTTGTTGGGCCGAAGGGCCTGTTTCCACACTGTAGGGATTCTTATGATCATGGTCACCCAGGCTCCAGTTGCGGCCCTGTGTTGGGGAATAAATTGTTAATTCCTGGCCCTGTAGCAGAGCCATGCTGCCTATCTGGTCCCACACATGTGTCAGCAAAGAAATAATGTGTCCAAAGAAAGAGAAAATAGAAAGTAAACTAAACTGGAACACCCGTCCCCCCCCACAAAAAAAAACATTTCACAGTCAGTGTCTAGGAGTAACTGTAAAATGATGACATTAAAGTGTGTGCACTTTGTAATAGCTCATCAGCAGATCTGTTGTTGGCGGTGAAACTTTCTCAAGTTTAGTTTCACATTGTTTTGAGCCTCTGTTCGGAGTTCTGTGTTTATCTGTGTGCGTGTGCCTTTATGTTTGAGTGTGTGTGTGCGTGTGCCTTTATGTTTGAGTGTGTGTATCTGTGTCTGTCAAAATAAGCTGCCTCACTCACTTCCTTCCTGCCCGGATAGCAGTTACAGATAGACACACACACACACACTGGGCCAGCCAGTCACTGCAAAGAGAGAGAGATCGGAAAATATCACAGCTCAGCCGAGATCAACACACACTCGCTGCTGAGAGCCGAGCAGAGCGGGAGTGGATGTAGCCTGGAGCTAAAGGCAACAAATTTTATTTCAACTGGAGCAAAGCAGCGAGTGTCTGAAAGGGGCGTTCTCCTGGAATCTAGCCCCATCTCCTACCCCCTTTCCCCCCTCTTGTCTCTTGTGAAGCCAAGCTGGACCGGGGTTTGCCTTCAGTGAAGTTTCGATGTGCTTCTAATTGCTGCTCGCCTGGATTTGGGTATTGCAAGAATTTTTTTCTCACCCCACCTCCGCGGCTCGAACTTAGCTGGGACAGCTTTAGGAGGGGTCCCCACGCCACTCCGAGTGTTGGATCCAGATTGGGAACTGCAACAAAAAGATTTCCTCCAGGCCACTGAACGTGACCAAGCGTGCAGCCCCAGAAGTGTGTGTGTCTGTCTGTGTGTTGTTTGGAGAGTTTAAAAGCAGCCTGTCTCCCTCCCACATACACACACACGTACACACACACACACACAATGCACTGGATTTGAACTGCAGCCCTGCAGGCTGGCACCGATTTAACGATTAGAGCCAAAGAGGGTGTGGGAGGAGAATGATTCTTCAAGCACTGGGCATCCGGAATCTGCCCGGGTGCCACTCGGTTTTGTGGAGACCCTGCGGTGCGTTGTAGGGAGGGGACTCAAGGTACACCCTGTCATCGCTGTCTCCAGCTCCCAGGGACTCTAGGTCCACCTGCCTCCTGGATCCCTGTGCCCTCCTCCCACCGTTTGAGAGGGGAGTTTTGGTTTCGGGGGGGGCCATGTTCTGAATAGTTACTTGCCAGTGGTGATGCCCAGACCGATCTCCTAACCTCGGCGAGGTGGGACAACCAACACCTGGCAAGGGGAAGGGGAGGAGGGCACCAGGGAGTTTGAGGCTGGATATCAATGCCCACCCCCACCCCCACCCCCAGCGCTGCCAGCTACTGATATTATGGCTGCTTGTGCCTTGGTCAACCTGGGCAGAATGAGCAACGACATCAAGGCAGACTGTCCCCATCAAACTCGCAGGCTGGCGCTGAAGGTGCCCGAGAGGCACGTCTCCCGTTGCCACGTTCGCCTGGCCCCAAACCCCGGGGTCAACGGCGGGCGTGGGCTCAAGCTGTCACGGTCCAGCGAGGACCTGCCAGCCTGCAGCCAACACCCCGGCGCAGCCCCCCCTCCAGAGGGAACGACCGGCCCCCTCCCTCGGGGGAAACCACAGCGAGGAAGCTCCGAGAGCCCCGCAGGTCAGCGGGAGCCACTCGGCTGTAGGGGCCTGGCCGGAAAATGGGTGCGCTCCCAGACGGATGAGGAGGCGTCGGCAGGTACGGGGGTCGCTGGAGGCGGCCAGATGGACCAGAGACAGCCGCGTGGTTGGGATGCAGCGCCACTGGCATTGCCAGGCACCATGGCGAAGGGAAGCAGCAGAGCTCCAGTCCAGGAGGAATACAGCCGGCTGACTTGGCACTGCCCCACCAAAGACCAGCAGCTTGGGGATGGGCTGAATAGGCTCAGGACTCCATCCCCAGACCACCCTCTGCCCCATCATCCATCACCACCTCCTGCTGCCCAGCCCGGCCTGGTGGAGATCCCTCATGTCATTGTGACAGAGCACGGGCACGATGACAGCGGGGAGCCCAACGACGACTGCAATCCCAATGGGCCCTGGGTATTCGTCCGCAAACTCTCCTCCTCATCAGCCTCCTCTGCCGGCTTCTCCTCCTCCTGGGATGAGTCAGAGGAAGACATCTCGAGTGACCCGGACAAAGGAGGTGATGTCAGCTCGGCCTTCCTCCAGACCCTGGAGCGTGAGCCCAAACCCAGGGTGGTGAGTACAAGAAAAGCCCTTCTCACTCTCCTGATCGCTCTCCACGAACAAGGGAGGGAGGGAGGCAGCAACAACAACAAGACCTGCATTTACCTAGCGTCTAGACATCAGACTACCTTCGGGACTATTAGGTCAGATGGCCCAAAAGGTTTGCTTGAAGAGGTAGGGTTGAAAGAATGTGTTAACAGAGGAAGAAGCGGTGGAGAGGTGTAGGGAGGGAATTCCTCAGCTTATGGGCCAGGCCACCATTGAATCGAACTGCTAATATTGAGAAAGCACAAGAGACCAGTATTAGACAGTTCTCAGAGGATTGTGAGGTGGGGGGCGTAGGTTACACAAATAGGGAGGGGAAAGTGTGGATAGACGCTTCAAAACCAAGACAATAATGTAAAAATCGGGGCATTTCTTAACTGGTGGATCAGTGAGCGCACAGGGAATGCTGAGTCAAAGCAACACAAGGTGAGTTAAGAAAAGTGAGGCAGGATTCTTGATGACCTCAAGTTTATGGAGGTTAGAATGTGGGAAACCAGCTGGGTGTGTGTGTGTTTTTCTTTAGATTCCAATCGATCGAAGGAAGTGGCTTATAAAGCCAGAAACAGTGGTGAGCCTGAGGATTGGAAGCAATTAAGAACCTAATAAAGGAAGGCCAAGAAACTGATTAGGAATGAATAAAGAGAATATGAATGTAAGCTAATGAGGTACATAAAGACAGATTGTCAAAGCTTCTATCGACGTGTGAAAGGAAAATGATTAGCAAAGGATAAATACGGGCCTCATTAAACAGAGACAGGAGAATTTATAATGGAGAACGGATCAATGTGGGAATAGTTATTTTATCAAGCTGTTCAGACGTGTTGTGACTGACTTCAGGGCAGGTGGGTCTAGAACTCAGCCCCCCTGGTCAAGAGATAGGGACAATACAACTGCACCACAAGAGCCTAAAGTAATCACAGCAGAACTGACAGATCGCAGCAGTGCACCTTCTGATAGCAGAGATAGTAGGAACTGCAGATGCTGGAGAATCTGAGATAACAAGGTGTAGAGCTGGATGAACGCAGCAGGCCAAGCAGCATCAGAGGAGCAGGAAAGCTGACGTTTCGGGTCTAGACCCTTCTTCAGACCCTTCTTTTCTGAAGAAGGGTCTAGACCCGAAACGTCAGCCTTCCTGCTCCTCTGATGCTGCTTGGCCTGCTGCGTTCATCCAGCTCTACACCTTGTTACCTCGGTTCTGATAGCATCCGGATTCCCACAGAAATGAAAGGCCTCCAGATTCTGCAGTGTGTTGGAATGGTCAAGGCTAGAGGTAACATCAGCACAAAGGAGGAGCTGAGACTGCTATTACTACAGTGGTGGAAATACGCAGTCTTTGTGATGGTGCGGACGTGTTGTCAGAAACGTATCTTGGGGCCAAGTAAGATTGTAAAAAAGGGAGCAGAAGTAGGCCATTTGGCCCGTCAAGCCTGTGTCACCGTTCACTCAGTTGACTGTGGTCATGATTCCACTTTCTCCCTGCCCCTTAATTCACTTCACTCCCTTTTGTCTAACTCAGGTTTGGATATATTCAATGACCCAGTCTCTATTCCTCTCTGGGCTAGACAATTAAGAAACCTCTCAGAAGAAGTTCCTTCTTATCTCTATCTTAAACAAGAGACCTCTTATTTTTAAATAATTCCTCCGAGTTCTAGATTTATTACAAGAGGAAATGTCGTCTCTGCATCTACCTTGACAAGCTTCCTCAGAATCTTGTAGCTTTCAGTAAGATCATCTTTCATTCTTCTTAACTCCAATGGCTACAGGTCCAACCTTTTCTCTTAAGGTAGCGCCTTCACTCTAGGAATCAGCTAAATGAATCTTCTGTGAGCTGCTTCTAATGTAAATAAAAACCTCCTGAAATAAGGGGACCAGTGCTATACACAGTACACCAGCTGTGGTCTTACCAAATACTTTCTGGATGTAGTAAGTCTTCCCTAACCTTATACTCCATTTCCCTTGCAATAAAGACAACATTAATTTGCTATCCCAACTATTTGCTGTATCTGCAGGCTGAATGTTTGAGATTTGTTTACAATGACTCCTAGACCCATTGGTACTACAGCATTCTGCAGTTCTTCTCTGTTTAAACAATATTCTGTTCTTCCTACCAAAGTGGGCAACATAATGTTTTCCCATATTGATGACCACTCCACATGACCACTCAAACTGTCTACATCCCTATCTTTGTATCGTCATCAAGTCTGGCTACAATACAGTTTGTCACCCAGGCCATAAATAGATCTTATAAAAAAGTTGAAGTTCCGACACTGATCCCTAAGGCACTGCACATTTGCTAACCTAAAATTAATGCATTTACGCTCACTCTCTGATTCCTGTTTGTTTATCAGTTCTCTATTCAGTTTAGTATATTGCTCCAACACCATGAGCTGTTGTCTTGTCCAGTAACTTTTATGTGCTCCTCATCAAATGCCTTCTGGAATTCCAAATACACTTACATCTACCAGTTCTTCTTTATCAATATCTTTATCATAACCTCAAAACTTCTAATAAAGTTGCCCAGAAAAGTTTCCCTTTCACAAAACCATGTTGACTCTGCCTGACCGTATGCTGATGTGCTCGGGCGGACAGAGATGTCACGGTAATATTGCTGGACTAACCAATGCTCTGAGGACATTGGTCCAGATTCCACCAGGGTAACTATGGAGTTTAATTTCAATTATTTTTAAACAAGAATCTAAAACTAGTCTCAAGTAATGGTGGCCATGAAACTATTGTTGATTGTTGTGAAAGCCTAACAGGTTCATTAATATTCTTTGGGGAAGGGAATGTGCCATTCTTCCCTACACGTGACTCCAGATCCCCAGCAATGTGGCTGTCTCTAAGTGCCCTCTCAAATAGCCTGGTATCTCTGTTCAAAAGCAATTATGAATGGATGACAAATGTTGGCTGTGCCAGCAATGCCCACATCTAAATGCTCTGATACTACCTATTTAATAATGGATTATAGCATTTTCCCAATAACAAATGGTGGCGCAGTGATTAGCACTGCAGCCTCACAGCGCTAGGGACCCGGGTTCGATTCCACCCTCGGGCGACTGTCTGTCTGGAGTTTACACATTCTCCCCGTGTCTGCGTGGGTTTCCTCTGGGTGCTCCGGTTTCCTCTGTCAGTCCAAAGATGTGCAGGCTAGGTGGATTGGCCATGCTAAATTGCCCGTAGTGTCCAGGGATGTGTAGATTAGGGGGATGGGTCTGGGTGGGATGCTGTGAGGGTCAGTGTGGACTTGTTGGGCCGAAGGGCCTGTTTCCACACTGTAGGGATTCTATGATGAAAAGTTAGACCAACTGGCCTGTAATTTCCCTTTCTTGAATTGAGATGTTATATTTGTCGCTTTCCAGTATACTGGGATCTCCCCAGAATCAAGGGAATTTTGGAAGATTACAACGAATGCACCCGTTATCTTCGCAGCCATTTCTTTTGTGAGCCTAGGATTTAACCTATCAGGGCCAGGGGACTTGTGAGCTTTAATTCCATTAGCTGTCCTAGTACCTTTATCTATCATTCTTAGGATCTTCTGCTGTGAAGACAGATATTTGTTCAAGTTCTTTGCCGTTTCCTTGCTTTCCATTATTAATTCCACTATCTCATCCGCCAAGGGGCCAACGCTCACTTTAGCTCCATCTTACATCCATAAAGAAGCTTTAACTGTCTGTTTTTATATTTCTTGCTGGTTTTCTGGGTTTTTTTTGAGTCATCAAAGTGGTCCTGATCTGCTTGTTTACCACTACACTCTAAATGGCATTGTGCGCCTTTTCCTTCACTGTGTTACCAAAATTGCAAACAGTCCGGTTAAGCTGTAAGGTAAAGTCGGATGAGCACTTGACGATGTAGGAATGATGGAGGGGTTGAGAGAGGTGCCAGTGAGGTAATGGATGGCTGCAATCAGCCTATTTGTGAACACTAACACCGTGTCAGTGGATGACGTTGCAGAGGGGTAACTTGGAGATGAGGAATAGGAAGGACCAAGGATTGATCCTTGGGGGAATACCGGTGGTAATGGTGCAGGAGAGCTGCATTGCATGTAGGGTTTGGAGAACACCGACAATAGCGACTCTCTGGGCTGGATTTGTCACAGACTGTGTACTATGGTCTCAGCAACATGAAATCACTAACATAGTAGATTGGTAGCTTAGGGCAGAGACGGTTATAGAGTCATAGTGATATACAGCATGGAAACAGACCCTTCGGTCTAATTCATCCATGCCAACCAGACATCCTAAATTAATCTAGTCCCATTTGCCAGCATTTAGCCCATATCCCTCCAAACCCTTCCTATCCATGTACCCATTCAGATGCCTTTTAAATGTTGTAATTTTACCAGCCTCTGGCAGCTCATTCCAAACACACACCACACTCTGTGTGAAAAAGTTGCCCCTTATGTCCCTTTTATATCTTTCCCCTCTCACTTTAAACCTATCCCCTCTAGTTTTGGACTCTCCTACCCCTGGGAAAAAGACCATGGCTAATCACCCTATCCATGGTCCTCATGATTTTATGAAGTTCTATGAAGTCACCCCCTCAGCATCCGATGCTCTGGGGAGATTTTAATAGGTGTGTTCCAAATCATGAATGTTAGAGCTAGTAATCAGAAAGTGTTTCCAGTTGCAGAAGTGTGGGTGACCAGAGGAGACAGATTTAAACTAATTGGCAAAATAGGAAAAATGAATGCATTGCATTGAAAAGAAATCCAACCAAAGAGGAATTGGCTAAACATTGGAAAAGAGGAATAAGGAAAGAGTGAGGTGGTGGGGGTGGGCAGGGGAAGGATCATTTATGCAATGGACATTGAGCTGTTAGGAATGGGGGCTCTCTTAGTCTCCTCTCCCTCCGGCACTCCCCAAATTGCTGGGCATTCCCTGCTCCCACACCAGAGAATAACCACGAGTCAGCACAAAGGAATTAAACCCGGAATCTTAATCTGTTTGTCTCAGAGAGACATTCAAAGT